CCTCGCACGGCGGAAGGCAGGGCGCCTCCTCGCATGATTTCAATCGCACGCCGGGCCTCTAGTCAATCAATAAAAAAGATTTAAAAGATAAAGGGGCTCTTGTGATTGTGAGTCCCCAAGGGCAGGACTCGGTGTCCCCATCCCGTGTCCCGGAGCCCCCTGGCAGAGCCTGCTCTCCTGGGGGCCTGGAGGTGGGTTTTAATTTCGATGCATCTTGGGGAACCTGCCTAGACAGTTGGCTGGCCAAGCCACCCCTGGGCTGGGAGGGGTACCGATGGGCTGGGGACGGTTCCGCTCCTCAGCGGGGCAGGCCTGGCTGCTGAGCCCAGAAACGCTGACAGCGGGCTCAGCGTTGCTGCCACTCAGCACAGACGGGCGCTCCCCAGGGAGACGCCAGAGGCAGCCGGGGTGCGTGATTGCCGCTGTCACTGCTAAGCTGGGGGCCCAGGCTGCCGGGTGTCATGCAGTGACTGGCAGAGGGAGGCAAGGAGATCCTGACGGGGGGGCCTGATGCTGAGTCAGGGGACAGGGGCTCCCTCCCCCTGCCTGAGTGAAGAGGGGAGGGAAACTGGTCTCCGCAAGGATCCCTCCCAGGCCGCCTGCCCGTGGCCCCTGGTGCCTGGCCCCGCCCTCCTGTTGTTCTACGAGGCCCCAGCATCCGCTGACCAGCGCCGGTCGGCCAAGCGCAGCGGCTGGAGGGGAAGAAGGACCGAGGCTGCCGCTGGAAAGGTCAGCAGCCCGAGGGACCGGGAACATCCAGGATGCAAATGTGGAATTTACACTCCCCGTGCCCGCTGGCCTGCCTGCCTGTGTGTGTGCCAGCCAGCAGCCTGGGCAGCCTGGGCACAGCCATGTCCGGGGCCTTGTCCGGAGCTGGGTAGTCTGGGGCTCCCCACTCTGAAGGCACTTCCCCACGGGGGGCCCTGGGGTGCGTGGGGGAGAGGCCTCAGCTCCGGCTGAGACGTCCCAGGAGCCTGGCATGGGAAGAGTAATGGATGCCAACCAGTCCTCTTGTCGGTTTTTCTGGCTTCGCCCGGATGCTTTCCAGGCCTGACTCTGTCCCTCAGACTTCATGATCATCCCACACGGAGACCTGGATCCTGCTGCGAGCCGGGGGCTCTGCATGAAACCTCCTACAACCCTGCCAGCACTGGCCTGCTGCCCCAGGGCAGGGAACGGAGGGGCAGGGAGGAAAGGCCCTGACGGGACCGCAGCCCCAGGGTGAGGGAGCCGGGACTCACGTCCATGTCTCTGTCATCACCTGCGTCCCACGAAGCAGCTCTCCCATCTTCCTCAGCCCCGCCATCCTGGCCACCTTCCCTCGAGTCACTTAGCCTAGCAGGCTGGACAGATGTCCTCGGCACCAGGCACCAGGCACCAGCCCCGAGAGGCTGTATGTGCGTACATGTGTGTGTGCATGTGTGTGCACGTGTGTGCGTGCATGTGCGCGTGCGTGTGTGCGTGTGTGTGCGCGTGTGTACGTGCGTGTGTGCATGTGTGCGTGTGTGCATATGTGCGTGTGTGTGCACGCGTGTGTGCGTGTGTGTGCATGTGTGTGCACGTGTGTGCGTGCATGTGTGCGTGCGCGTGCGTGTGTGCGCGCGTGTGCGCGTGTGTGCGTGTGTACGTGCGTGTGTGCATGTGTGCGTGCGTGCGTGCGTGTGTGCATATGTGCGTGTGTGTGCGCGTGTGTGTGCGTGTGTGTGCATGTGTACCTGCGTGTGTGCGTGTGTGTGTGCGTGTGTGTGTGTGTCCCATCCAGCTGTGCAGTGCGGGGTGCTGTGCAGTGAGCACTGGGCCAGGAAGCCCGGGCTCAGGACCAGACCCTCGCCTGGCTTGCTGAGTGACCTCAAGACCCTCACCCAGCCAATCGGGGCCTCAGACAGTGACCCCAGGACACGGGTCAGGGATCTTCCTGCCCCGCCCCCTCCTCCATGCGTCTGGAAACCCCACGGCTGAGCCGGCCTCCTCCTCTCTTTGCCCCCGGCAACCAGCATAGAACTTGGCACCTGTGGGTGCTTGACACGGCCCGTCCTTGCCTGAGTGACACCCTGCCACTCGAGTCCCCGGGGACGCCGTCCACGGCCCCCTCAGAGGCTTCAGGCAGGCGCTTCTGGGCGCTCCGTCTTCGTTTGCAAACGTACTCGTCCTCTCGCTGGCTTCTGGCCACTGGGCCGCCAGCCCTTAATCCTATTGACATTCGGGGAACCAGTTTCTGCTGCTGTTGACAGAGCTCGCCCCGCCTGTGCCCGACAGGCTGGGATCAGAGTTCAGAGTTGTTGTTGGGCACTTGGGGGCCCTGGGGGAGGGGAGCAGAGGCCTCCCCGTCGCCAGGTGGACGGAACAGCCTCCCTGGGATGGAGACCAGCCCTGGACGAGCTGGCAGATGAGGGAGGACCTCACAGTGTGCTGGGGGCTGTGGCTCAGCAAGGCCCTGGGAGGCAGGTGGACAGACTCCGGGCCACACAGTGAGGTGGACGCCAGGAGGGATCCGGATACATTCCTAGCTGGGCGTTGGCTGTGACAGAGAGACCTGGGGGGCGTATGGACAGACTCCGGGCCACACAGTGCGGTGGACGCCAAGGGGGGATCCGGACACATTCCTCAGCTGGGCGTTGGCTGTGACAGAGAGGCCTGGGGGGCATGGGCTCCGAGGGCAGAGGGTCAGGCCTGAGGGACCCAGCACTAGCTGTGGACAGGCCAGGGGGGCTGTGGTTGCCGGAGGAGGGGGAGGTGGGGAGGGGAGGGCTCTGGAAAGGGAGAGGCCTGGGGGAGCAGCCCGTGGAAATCGCTGCCAGGAAACAAACACCCATGAGTGCCAAGGGCGCTGGTGTCGGCTCTGTCCTCAGGGATGCCAATTCCAGGCGCTTGGGGCCAGCAGAGCCCACCGCCCCCCCCCCGGGCTTCGGCCCTGGGGGGCGAGCGGGGGCTCTGGGCGTCCTCCTCAGGGAGGCCCCACCCCCAGGAAAGCCTATTCGGGACCCAGTCTTCATCCGTCACCTGCTCCTGGGAAGCAATATTCCTGGGGGGCCCAGAGCTCGGATGGCATTGGGGAGGGGAGGCGGGGTGGGCCCAGGCCTGGGGGGTCTTCTGCAGCCCTTCACTGCAAGGTGGCCTGGAATGAAGGGGCGTGGCGGCCCGATAGCCAAGGTTGCAGGTTCGATCCCCAGTCAGGGCTCATGCTAGGACCAGCCCATGAATGCGTCAGTAAGTGGAACAGCAAGTCGATGTTCCCTTGAGCCCTTCCTCTCTCTCTAAACACCAATCAATACGAACATAATTTTTAAAAAGAGAAGGAGCGTGGGCACCAGGCGGACTGTCCGGGTTCAAATGCCCCCTCAGTCTCTTCAAGGCTGTGGGACTAAGAAAGTGCCCAACCGCCCGGCTGGGTGGCTCAGTGGCTGAGCGTCGACCGATGAGCCAGGAGGTCACGGTTCGATTCCCAGTCCGGGCACGTGCCTGGTTGCAGGCTTGATCCCCAGTGTGGGGCGTGCGGGAGGCAGCCAATAGGTGGTTCTCTCTCATCGCTGCTGCTGTCTCTCCCCTCTCCCTTCCTCTCCCACATCAATAAAAATATATTATTTTTTTTTAAAAAGTGCCCACCCCCGGGCTCCGGGTTTCTCCCGTGTCCAGGGGCCACTGCGCTCGGCTTCCAGGAGTTCGTGCCGAGAAACGAGCATCACGTCACGGGGAACTCGCGCCTGGCGGGTGCCTTTCTGCTCAGCAGACAGTCACCAACGTAACGGCTGTTTGAGGCTTTCTAACCACACTGACGCCGCCATTCAAACATCAAATATCAGATTGACAGGGTGCACAGAGCTCGACACAGCACGCCGCGGGCCCGCGAGCACGCGCCCGGAGCGGCACACGCACGAGGCTGGTGATCGCAACGTTCCGTGTCATCGCCAGAGACCAGAAACAAGCTCAATGAGCTTCCGCAGGGGCCCCTCCCGCTAAGGAATGTGCGGTGCGGCCCCTCCACACAACGGAGACGCAGCCGGAAGTGAGAACCAGGCGCTGTTTTTCGGCTGACATAGAACAAGAAGCACGATGTAGTTTGAAGGGAAGGAAGCCGCGTGGAGCAGGATGTTCGTGCGTTTTAAATGAGAGCTTGCGTGAAGGCGGCGGTCTGGAAGGACACGCAGGGCCCGCGGCCCCACGCCTCTCCGGAGAGGGCGCTGGCTGGCCAGGGCGGAGAGCGAAGCCGGTCACGGAGTGTTTTGAGTTTTGAATCATGTGAATGCATCGCCCATTCACAATGTAGATTACATTATTTTTTTAAATTCCTTTTTTGCACATTATTTTTAAATATCCATTTTTTCATTCGTGCCCCCGCCCCTCCCGGCTGAGATTGAACTTCAGGTGTGCTTGGTCTCGGGTGCCCAGGGGTGAGAACGGCGACTAGGGGACCTCAGAAGCTGGGCTCAGGGGTCTGGGCAGTGAGGTGGGACCCTCAGGTGCTGGTGGGCCAGGCCTGGGCCCTCGAGCCCAGCCCTCGGCGGGAAACGGGTGGGACTGAGAGCGGCGTGGACACCTGCCCGACCCTGGCCCCCGCGCCGGTATGGAGGCCTCGAGGCAGGTCCGCCATCGCCACCTGCCCGTGTCCCGCTGGTTCTGGCTCGAGCAGCAACCGACGGGCAGTGCGGGCATGTGACGATGCAGAGGGTCCTGGTTGAGGTCCCCACGGCCCTCATGTGAGGAAGGATTGAGCGTGCTGCACCCTCCCATCCGGTGTGACATGCCGCCTCCCCGGGTCCGGCCCTCTCGCACCAC